GAGAATTACTTCTTGTGGTAATTGATGGTCGAACACGCTTCCCTGAAGTAGAAATTGTTAAGAGTACATCTGCAAGTTCTACCATCCCTCGACTTGATCGGATTTTTTCAACACATGGTTTACCAAAGAAAATTATCACCGAAAACGGCCCACCTTTTACAAGCTATGAGATTCAGAAGTTTATGAATGATAATAAGATCCATCATCATAAGATAACACCACTCTGGCCTCAAGGCAATGCAGAGGCTGAGAACTTCATGAAACCTTTGAAGAAATGCATCCAAGCTGCTCATGTTGATCATAAAAACTGGCGCAAAGAAATGTATCAATTCTTATTAAACTACAGATCCACTCCACATTCAACAACTACGGTTCCACCAGCTATTGCTATGTTTGGACGTTCCATTTGCAATAAGTTACCGTCAGTTACTGAAACACTCCCGGACATGAAGTATATCAACGAAACAATAGATACCGCTGATCAGAATACCAAGTGTAAACGCAATGAATATGCTGACAAACGACGACATGCTCGAATACCTCAACTCGCTGTTGGAGATTGTGTTTTAGTGCGGCAAGAGAAACAGAATAAGTTGACACCACATTTTGACCCAAATCCATATACCATAACAGCTGTAAAAGGAACCATGATTACGGCTACGAGAGCTGGTCATTGCATAACTCGGAACAGTTCACATTTCAAGTTATTCACGGGAGGTGCTACAAATCAAGGGAGAAACAAATGACAACAAAGTTGAGGGACGAAATGAAAATGCTAGAGAGAGAGAGAGAAATGTAGTTGTTGAAAACAGAGATGAATGCAGACGACAATATCCACGAAGACAACGGAAAAGACCAGAATTCTTTCATGATGGACAACGATAAGTACAAGACTATAATACTATGTACTTTAATTTAAAGGACTTAATAGACATTGATATTTGTTGTGTTATGTTAAACAACCGAACAGTTTCTAGGTTAATATCAACAAACGTTATATTATCTTAAATACCAAGGCGGGGAGAGATGTAGTGTCCTTGTAGTATCAAGTGATCATGTAGTCACGTGATATAATCTCATGGAGCAGAATGTAAGATGGCGGTTTATTAACAAAGTGTGTTTACAACAGGGACCACCTTAAATGGAAACGATTTCAAGTTTTTTCTCATCAATAAATATGGAAATACGCATTAACACGAAAACGACGCTCCAGGTCATGACCTGGAGCCTGTTTTTCCTGTTAAAACTTATTTCCGCATTTATTGGTCAAAATATAATTTTTTTCATGCATGTGTTGAAGAAGGATGTTCTGCTTCTCTGTGCATTAGCCCACGAGAAAAGCCTTGACAATCCTTTCCATTCAACTTGGTCTTAAGTTGAAAACAGTGTAGTTATGACGTAATTATCGAAACCGTGCATTGCTAGGAGGTTTCATTTAGTCCGTCTGCCAAAGTATTATCATATTAACTCGTAAAGGCAAAATCAATTGTAATTTGAAAGCACCATCTACATTGTGCTTTTAATTTCATTTCAAAATTATTGATCGGTAAAAATAGTTCGAGAGCGTTGACATCATACGTATTCTTTTTTACGCCAATGATATTTCAGACGGAATTATTTTGTTCGCCCTGAATTTACTGTTAAGAATTGAGTTAATTGTAATTCGATATAAAATTAAGCCTATAACATTTCTATTAAAAAATTTTGAAATTGTCATAAAACTAATCTGTTCTTTTACCGATAAACATGAAAATAAATTATTTCAAATATTTCAATCCCTTTATGAAAATAACCTTATTCTGGTATAAAGTGAGGAACATGGGGCAAGTTAGGAAAGACCGGACTGAAAAATTATCGAGTGTAATATTTTACCATCAACTAAGTCGCCTGTATGCGGCGAAGCGTTTGCTTCAAGTTCAACAGCCAACGGTTGCAAAAAGTACCATGAACCGCACTATTCCATATTCCACAATTCATTTAAAATAATGACGCAAAATATTAAAACCTTATTTCTCTTACTTAAAACTGAATAGGTCCAAATACATACAGGATATTAGGCAATTGCGAGGAGATATAGATTTTATGTTCACGTGACACGAGGACATAAATCCGTATCTTTTCGCAACCTTTTAATGTCCTGTTTATTATATGGACCTATTCAGAGTGACGAAAATACACGCAAATAGACGACATGTGAATAAAGTGCGAAAGAACCAGTATAAAAGCGATATTTTTTAATTAAATTATAGTGCAAACATAAAACTAGAATAAATTTAACTTATTCCAAGATGTCTTTTAAATGTTTTCGTTTTCTTTCCAGCTTTAATTAATTTCGTTTTATATACGAACCAAAGACCATTTGTATTTTCAAAACAACAACAATGAAAAAGTCGAGAAATTTTCGAACTTCGTATGTCACTATAGTAGCAAGACGCAAAAAATATGCGCATCTGGTTCCGGATGCGCA